GTGGTTTTTGCTTCCAGTCACAAGATCTCATCACTCACTGATTTGGAAAACAAAACGTTGACGAGAAAAAGCAAAATGGTGGACAGGTTGACAAAACAAATGAAAAGTGAAAGAAATTTGCATTCTATTTTAGGAAACTAAATGGCCAAATCAACCCAACAGGACTCATTGATTTGGTCTCGATACTCAACACAAGGTGTGGGGGCCGTGTCATCAACACTTTAATATTTTATTGGACCACCTTCAGGTTTGATCATGACACTCATTTGCTTTGGCGTTGTTTCAATAAACTTCTGCAATGTCACCAGATTTGTTTCCGTCCACTGTTGCATTAATGTTTTACCAAGATTTGCATTGATGATGGCAGAGTCTGACCTCTGCACAAAGCCTTTGCACAAAGGTCTGGACTCTGTGGTGGTCAATCGTGTGAAAATGGTGTCTCATGCTCTCTCAGTCACTCTCATTATTTAAGCTGATAAATCCTGGCGTTGTCATCTTGGAAAGTGCCCATGCCATCAGGGAAGAAAACATCTATTGATGGAATAACCTGGTCCTTCAGTTTATTCAGGAAGTCAGCTGACCTCATCCTTGGAGCACATCCTGTTGCTGAACCCAGACCTGACCAACTGTGGCAACCCCAGATCATAACACTGCCCCGACAGGCTTGTACAGTAGGCACTAGGCATGATGGGTGCATTACTTCATCTGCCTCTCTTCTTACCCTGATGCACCGTCACTCTGGAACAAGGTCCATCTGGACTCATCAGACCAGTTTTTATAATGCATTGGACAGTTCTTAACCCAGTTTTAGTCTTTTCCGCAATCTCTTTAGATGTTTTCTCTGCTTGATGCATGCCAATCAGACTAACATCTAACATCAGGTGTGTAGTTCCACTTGGTTGTTTAAGAAATGAGAAGCAACTCATTGCACCAGTTGGGTTTAAATAACTTGTTGCAAGCTGAAAGATAACCGCCCATGCAATGATTATCCAATAGGAAGCTCCTACCTAGGGCATAGTTAAATCCACGTAGTGGCTTTTTATTTGGATAGATGGTGTATTTAATTTTAAAGGAATAGTTTTAAACATTTTCGTATTTTTGAACCATTTTCTTGAGCCAGTATGTGCTAAAATGACCCTTTACTGGGTTATTGAAATGCCACCCAGCCCCTATCACCCCATGTGGGCAGAAAATTCCACTTGCAACTTCAGATTGGCGGGCTGCTCTGTTGGGACTTAGAACACATTGAGCTGACATACCTGGTGCTGCAGTCTGCTTCCAGCACATTTCCTGCACATTTTAGATCTTGAACACAGCTGATTGGTTTAATTTAGTGATGAATCACTCCTGTAGACACCAATGAAGGCTGGGGAGACATGCCAGCTGTTAGATTAAGGTGTTAAAAAGACGAACAAACAGGGAGGAGATAAGTGTTGCTTTTGGTTCTACAAACAGACACTAGGGGGTGCTAAAAGCAAGCCAAAACAGCCTAGTCTCCTATAAGAATAGAAATGTAGATCCCTGCTCTGTGCTTGAGGTTTCATTGTGACATACTAACATTATAGCTCACATGCAAAGCTCTTGACCGCTAAAATGTTAAAATACTGTAAAAAGAAAAGTACTGGGAGCACATTATTACATATTTCAAGCTAATTTTAAGCCTATGCACATTTGGTTAAGCTGCGCCATAACTTTTCCTATGTTTCAGCATCGATTCAACAGCCTTCCTAGCACTGACAAGACGATGTGTTTGTTTTGGGTGCATCACTGACAGGTCAGATATTGGAGTAGATGGAGCTGACCTTCAGGTGAAGGATCGTAACCAGAACAGCTCAGACCCGCATGTTTAAGTGTGCGTGTGTGGGCGGAGGACTGAACGTGGAGGTGTCAGCATGAAGTGGGTATTACATAATTAACTGTGTTGTGCTACTGAAGAAAAATACTACTTACAGTTACTAGAAACCGTATTCATAAAGTGACTCAGTTACTTTGATTACTTACAACAAAAAGTAATTAATTACTGTAAAAGTAACTATTCAACACTATTAATTAAGTCAGGCCATAAATTATTTGAGAAATTGTATAAATGTAGAAAAATAACACAATTACTTTAAAATGATATTTAGGTTTTCTTTCCTTTTTCAAATGTACTCAGCTGGTTTGAAGCAGAGTAAAATTTGATGAAACGCTGGCTGCCACCATCATGTTTCCTCTGATCCGTCCCCTAGGAAGTGCCCGACTTTTATATTAACTGGACAAAAGCATTCTAACTGAGTTACTAGTAACTAGAAATGTGTTACTACCAAGGGGCTAGCTCTGCCTGGCAAGGTGAAGCCAACCTGGAAGTAAATGCCAATGATCAGTCAACCTTTTACCTTTCTGACAGCGATTCTCCCATTCTCCCTTAAAATGTTCTCCTGCTGAAATGCGCCGACTCATGGGTGAAAGATTCTCCACATGCACTATCCTCCTTTAGGAAAGATATTTGCAGGCGTTTATTCCTATAATGCCTTCCGCAGGCACACGCATCGCCTAAGCTTCCTGACACACGTGCAAATGCACATGGCAGGCTCGCCGGTCTCCATCAGAGCAACACTTGTAAAGGAAGATGCCAGCACTGGCCTTCAAACATCAACCATGTTAGGGGTTTTAGGTAGCTAACACATAACAATGCCCTGTAGTATTTGTTAAAGGGGGCATGTTTTCATCTTTTCCTCCTTTTTTTTTCAGCCACATGGGTCTTCTGCCTCCCAAACTAGAAAAAAACCCATCCATCTTTTTTCTGCCCTTTTCATTTATGTTAATGCAAACATCACATCATTAAAGCCTAGTAAATCAAAATGTCTGCACTCTCAGCAGCTTTAGAAAGAAAAATCTGTTTTGAATAATTTGGCAAAAGAACTTTTTGAACCTCCGGAGAAAATTCAATGTTTATTTTCAAACAAATTCAACCAGGGTGAACTCTTTATTCAGAAATATGAGGAAACATGACTTTATTATGTACTAGTATTATAAACGAGTCTGGAGGTCATTTAACCTCATGTGGAGCCATTTAGAGGCCCACTCACTGACCATCTCACCTGTTACAAATTCTACTTTGATATGTCGAGGACTCACTCGACTTTAATCACACTTAAGCAAAAGTCTGCATTCTGCACTGCTGTGCACTCGATTAAGCTTGACGTGTTGAGAACTGAAGAGCTGCTCGGATTTTTAAAAAAAGCTGCTGACTCCTTTTCCCTCTGCTGTTTGCCCTCTCCATTTATTTCCTACTCTTCCCTTTCCCTCCATCACTCGATGCATCCCTCATTCCTTCAAGTGTCTCTTGTGATGAGGTTTATAAAGCAGAGGAGCTGAAGGGGGTTCATTAAAATCCTCCTTCTCTCTTTCTTTATCTTTCTCCGTGTTATCGTCTCTTCAGCTCCCTTTTGCCATCTTTACAAGCTGAAATCATGGCATCACAACACGGAAAGAGCCTGTACAGCAAAATTATACTTTCAAATCTCCCTCCACTCAAGCCTTTTAATAAGCAAGACGTAAATTTTCAACCTGATCTGGAAAAAAAAGAGTAGGAAACAAAAACACAAATGTGAGACGGAGCTCAAATGGGAAGTGCAGGGACAGGGATGATATGAGGAACAGCTGCAGAAAGAATATGTTAAGAAGGATGTCAGGCTGCAGTGACGGCTGCAGCCACTGTGTGCAAACAGAAAGTGGGATCAGTGATGCTTTCCAACCAGAAACACCAGGCTGGGACAGCATCGTTGGAATATGTGACAGATGCAAGCATTTTTTTTTTACTGTTTTTGCATTCCCCCCTCAATTTAAGAACCACTTACTTTGCCAGCCTTTTGTCAAGTAATAATAGTTTGTATGTGATGTGGGAAGGGACGGAGGACTTGGTAAGTGGCAGGTGGGGGTAATGTAGTACATTTGCGCATTGCATTATGGGAAGGAAAGGGGGTGGGAGACAGACAGGAAACGTGCAGAGATTTACTTGCTTTGCAGAGGAGCTAAAACGGCGCTATTCATGGCAGATTGCTTGCAGTGGTGGATGCAAAGGTTCGACGGGACAAGCGGGAGAAGGGAAGGTTGTTAATATGGAATCTGGAGCTGCATTTTTTCTGCAGTTGGGATAAAATAGAGCAAGCCAAGAAAGGTCTGGGCATAAAGAAGCATCAGTTCTCAAAGAAGAGGGAGGAGAAAGAAGGTGGAGGACAGAAGAGGAGCAGGAGGGGTGAAGTTTTGTTTTTAATTTCAGATGCTGTGTGGTTATTTCATCTGTGCTGCTTTATACATAAATCTGTTTTTATTCTCACCTCATTTCTGTGTGCATGTGAGCGAACGTTTGTGTCACTCTGGCTTTGAATGAGTGAATCTGTGAGAGATGCGATGCACCTCACTGAGGTTGCAGCTTCAGCTCATGCAATCAGTCAGCCTTGCAGTCGATCTATGACTGATTTACCTCTTTCAGCTTCTCCCGATAGCTGACTTTTACTAATCACGCAACATGTAAAGTAAGACTGGCCTCAGAGTTGCTCTCACCTACATTTTCTCTTGTCATTTGTAGTTTTGAAGTTAAATGAATGAACGGTGTTTGCATGGTAAAATGATGAGAGGCTTTCTGTGTGTCAGCAAGGATATTCAAAGTGCAAGAATCAATAGGAGCTTTGACGAGGAGAATGAATGAATCATAGCTAAGGCTTTAGCGCCAAGCCTGCACAGATAAATCAAAGTTTTTCAACCTCACTCAGTGAATCAGTGCACATTTTGCCTATGATCAATCACTGTTCAAAGGCAGCGACTGGATATGTGCTCATTATTTAATGAATTGTGTTAAGAGTGTTTTCGTTAAAACAGCTGATAGTGGAATGGTCTTAAGTTTGATTGTCTTTTGATGTATGAGACATATTTCAATAATGCATTACTGCTGTCACAAAAACGTGAATGGTTGGAGTTTGAAAGGTAACTAACAATGTGTCTTTGTCTTCTGTCTGCAGGTTCAAGAATGGTTGTGTCTCAATTGTCAAATGCAGCGAGCTCTTGGCATTGATATGACCACGCCTCGCTCTAAGAGCCAACAGCAGATTCACTCTCCGTCGCACCAAGCCAAACCCATTGTCCAGCCTCAGCAGCCTGCAGCACAGCCAACACAGCCAGCAGCACAGCCCAAACCGTTGGCTCAGAGTCAGTCGCCCCAGCGGCAGCATCAGCAGCAGCAACCTCAATCTCAGCCTTACGGCCAGAATCAACCCTACTCCCAGTCCCAGGCCTACTCCCAATCCCAACCACATTCCCAGGCCCAGCCGTACTCCCAATCCCAACCACATTCCCAGGCCCAGCCTTACTCCCAATCCCAACCACATTCCCAGGCCCAGCCATACTCCCATTCCCAACCACATTTTCAGGGCCAGCCATACTCCCAAGCCCAACCACATTCCCAGGCCCAGCCATACTCCCAGGCCCAATCGTATTCCCAGGCCCAGCCATACTCCCAGAACCAGCCATATTCCCAAGCCCAACCATATTCCCAGGTTCAGCCGTATCCTCTATCTCACCCTCAGCCTTACCCTTCATCGCAACACGGGCCTCAGGCACAGCCTCAACCCTCTCAAGGCTTGCAGACACATCCGGGCATGCACTCTACGACAGGGCCCTCTCAGCAGGGTGTGAAGTCTGACCAATCCTCTCAGAGAGGTATTGGAGCTGCAGGGGGGGCAGGAGGCCCCAGTCAGCCTGGAGGTCCTCGGATTCCCCACCCTGGTGCTGTACCTCTCCCTGGTTTGACAAAGGCACCCTCCCAGCCTGATTTGGGTCATGGTTCTCCAATGCATCAGTCTGTGTCAAGGCACCATGACCAGACCAGGAGTGCTGGGTCCTCCCCGGCCCACAAACCTCAGAGTCAGATCCCACCCCCTGCCCAGGATGGTCTGACCAAACTGTTTGGCTTTGGGGCATCACTGCTCAATCAGGCAAGTACCCTGATCAATGTTGATCCTCTACCCACAGCCTCCACACAGCCAAGCTCCGTGCGAGGGAAGGTGGTATTCAGCAATGCAACTTCTGACAAGCAGCAGCAACAAGGGAGGGCCAGCACCAAGCCTTTCATTATGGGAGGTCCCAATGTACCAAGTCAAATGGGAGGTACTCGTGCACCAAGTCAAATGGGAGGTCCTCATGCACCAAGTCAAATGGGAGGTCCTCATGCATCGAGTCAAATGGGAGGTCCTCATGCACCAAGTCAAATGGGAGGTCCTCATGCATCGAGTCAAATGGGAGGTCCTCATGCACCAAGTCAAATGGGAGGTCCTCATGCATCGAGTCAAATGGGAGGTCCTCATGCATCGAGTCAAATGGGAGGTCCTCATGGTACAAGCCAACAAACTGGTCCTCATTCAGCAAGTCAAATGGGGGGTCCTCAGTCAACAAGTAAGCCAGGTGGTCCTCATGCACCAGGTGACATAGGAGGTACCATGGGTGGACCACATGCACCAACGCAAAAGCAACAGCAGCAGACCAAACAACAAGAGATGACACAGCAGAAACATAAAAAAGAGCAGCAGGGACAACAACCCCAGCAAACACCTGCTCAGCAGCAGAAAGCGCTACAGAAGCAGGCGCCAGTGACAGGACCTGTGGTAGCTCCAGAGGCATTGAAGCCCAAGGTGAACTGTCCTCTTTGTAAAACAGAGTTGAACACCAGCAGCTCCGACCCTCCAAACTACAACACCTGCACCCAGTGTCAGAGCCAAGTGTGTAACCTGTGTGGCTTCAACCCAACGCCGCATCTGGTTGAGGTAAGATAAATGCATAAAATCAGCATGTCTTTATAGATGGTATAGTAAATATGCACACAAACAGAAGTATTGCTTGCACACACAGACACTCACTAGTATCTAATCTATGTCAGCAGTGTAAAAGCAGATTCCATCATGCTGTTGGATTTCTTCATGATCAAAGGCAGTTTCTATTTATATTTGTTTCAGTTTCTATTTCTATTTTGTGTATCTATTTGTTTAGAATGATTCATTTTTTTCGACGTTCCAATTAATCTTCATGTGAGTGGTTCATTTGTTTAAATCAGTAGTGTTAAGGAATCACTACATATTTATTGATCAATCAGATGCGATGATTCCATTTAAATATGAAATATCGACCTGCTTGATCTCTGAATGTTCAATCAGAAGATTATAGTTACTTTTACTTATTCAGGGACCATAAACACACTTCGTATGAATTCAGAGTCAAGAATATAGTTTATAAATATGAATTCATTTCTATTTCCCTAAAATAATGATTATACATGACAAGGTATGAATGATGATGGAATGTAATGGATATGAAGTGATTTATTGTAATGTATGGAATGCTGGAATGGAAGCTAGAAGTTTTAGCAGAACCTTTCTGAAGTATCTGACAGAGTTTGTGGATTTTGGGTTGTAAAATAATTTGGCTGTCTGTTAAACTAAAGATTTGTTTATAGAAACCATTCAACGCAATCTGTTGAGTTTACGATACCCTTTTTATCGGAGATTCTTGTGCGAGCCAGGGGGTCAAGAGATCGTGATGGACACTGCCGGTGGGGTGAACCTCTCAGTATCAGGAACCCATAGATTAGCTCCGATAGGACCCGTCTAGTCTGAGATCTCTCCAGGTCACGACAGGAAGTTGGAATGCTTGTTTGCGTCTAAGGTGTGGAGTGGCTCTTAAAAGAGCTGTTGTGTCTGTATCACTCGCAGCGTTGCAGAGAGGCTTTGACTTGAGATCAGAGCAGAAGATGGTTTCAAATAGCTTTTTCCGCAATTTGGCCGAATCAGGAGTCAGCTGGAAACTGAATTAATCGGGAAATAATTCCTGTTTTATTTAAACCCGTTGCTTATAAATTTGGCAAATCAGAATTTGACACCCCAGCCAACCCCAGCCCTCCGCCTCTCACCCGGAGCAACTCCAGCAAAGTAGAGTGTCCAACCCCTCTCCAGGTCTCGGGTTCCAGAGCCAATGCAATGTGTCGAGGTGAGTCCGACTATATCTAGCCGGTACCGCTCAACCTCTGCCACAAGCTCCGGCTCCTTCCCCGCCAGCGAGGTGACGTTCCATGTCCCAAAAACTAGTTTTCTTGTCCGGGGATTGGAAAGCAAAGGCTCCCGCCTTGGTCTGCTACCCGATTCGCATTGCACCGGACCCTTCATGTTCCTCCTGCGGGTGGTGGGTCCACAGTTGGACGAGCCCATGTATCCGGTTCGGGCTGGGCCCGGCCGGGCCCCATGGGCGAAAGCCCGGCCACCAGGCGCTCGCTCACGGGCCCCAACCCCAGGCCTGGCTCCAGGGTGGGACCCCGGTAACCCTCCGGGCCGGGTACTCCGACTCTTCGTTTTAACCGCCATGAAAGATCCTTCGAACCGTTCTTTGTCTCACCCTTCACCTAAGACCAATTTGTCATGGGAGACCCTACCAGGGGCACTAAGTGCCCCAGACAACATAGCTCCTAGGATCATTAGGGCACTCAAACTCCTCCACCACGATAAGGTGGCGGTTCAAGGAGGAGGCTGGGGTTGGCTGGGGTTGGCTTTTTGTTAGCCCCGAGACTCTCTGCCTGTGTGTTGGGGTTTACCCCGGGGGACAAGAGGGTAGCTTCCTTGCGCCTTCGGGTCGGGGAACGGGTCCTGACTGTTGTTTGTGCTTATGGGCCAAATATCAGTTCAGAGTACCCACCCTTTTTGGAGTCCCTGGGACGAGTGCTAGATAGTGCTCCATCAGGGGACTCCACTGTCCTGCTGGGGGACTTCAGTGCTCACGTGGGCAATGACAGCTTGACCTGGAGGGGTGTGATTGGGAGGAACGGCCCACCTAATCAGAACTCGAGCGGTGTTTTGTTATTGGACTTCTGTGCAAGCCGCAGTTTGGCCATAACGAACACCATGTTCGAACATAAGGATGCCCACCGGTACACTTGGTACCAGGGCAGCCTAGGTCACAGGTCGATGATAGATTTTGTAGTCGTATCATCTGACCTGCGGCCGTATGTTTTGGACACCCGAGTGAAGAGAGGGGCGGAGCTGTCAACTGATCACCACCTGGTGGTGAGTTGGATCAGATGGCAAGGGAACATGCCGCGTAGGCCTGGCAGACCCAAACGCATAGTGAGGGTCTGCTGGGAACGCCTGGCAGAAGAACCTGTCAAGACGGTCTTCAACTCCCACCTCCGGCAGAGCTTTGACCACGTCCCGAGAGCAGTGGGGGACATTGAGTCCGAGTGGGCCTTGTTCCACTCTGCGATTGTCGAGGCGGCTGTTGCTAGCTGTGGTCGTAAGGTGGCCGGTGCCAGTCGTGGTGGCAACCCCCGTACCCGCTGGTGGACACCAGAGGTTCGGGGAGCCGTCAGGCTGAAGAAGGAGGCCTACAGGGCGTGGCTGGTCTGTGGGTCTCCGGAGGCAGCAGACAGGTACTTGATAGCCAAGCGGGGTGCAGCAGTGGCAGTTGCCGAGGCAAAATCTCGGGCGTGGGAGGAGTTTGGTGAGGCCATGGAGAAAGACTATCGATCGGCTCCAAAGAGGTTCTGGCAAACTGTCCGGCGCCTCAGGAGAGGAAGGCAGCAACTCGCTCACACTGTTTACAGTGGGGATGGGGAGCTGCTGACGTCAACTGAGGCTATAGTCGGACCGTGGAAGGAATACTTTGAGGAGCTCCTCAATCCCACCAATGCGCATTCCGAGGAGGAACCAGAGCTGGGAGGCCTGGGGATGGACTGTCTGATCTCGGGGGCAGAAGTTGCTGAGGTAGTCAAACAACTACACAGCGGCGGAGCCCCGGGGGCGGATGAGGTTCGTCCTGGGTATCTCAAGGCTATGGATGTTGTAGGGCTGTCATGGTTGACACGTCTCTACAACATTGCGTGGTCATCGGGGGCAGTTCCTAGGGAGTGGCAGACCGGGGTGGTGGTCCCCATCTTTAAGAAGGGTGACCTGAGGGTGTGTTCCCACTATAGGGGGATCACACTCCTCAGCCTCCCTGGAAAGGTCTACTCCAAGGTACTGGAGAGGAGGGTCCGATCGATAGTTGAATCTCAGATAGAGGAGGAGCAATGTGGTTTTCGTCCTGGCTGTGGAACTGTGGACCAGCTCTATACCCTTGCAAGGGTGATGGAGGGGGCATGGGAGTTTGCCCAACCAATCCACATGTGCCTTGTGGATTTGGAGAAGGCTTATGACCGTGTCCCCAGGGGCACCCTGTGGGGGACGCTCCAGGAGTATGGGGTGGGTGGCTTTCTGTTAAGGGCCATTCAGTCCCTTTACCAGAGGAGCGTGAGTTTGGTCCGCATAGCCGGTAGTAAGTCGGACCTGTTCCCAGTGAGGGTTGGACTCCGCCAGGGCTGCCCTTTGTCACCGGTTCTGTTCATCACTTTTATGGACAGAATTTCTAGACGCAACCGTGGTGTGGAGTGTGTCGAGTTTGGTGGCAGGAGAATCTCGTCTCTGCTTTTTGCGGATGATGTGGTCCTCCTAGCTTCATCCAGCTCTGACCTTCAGCTCTTGCTGGGTAGGTTCGCGGCCGAATGTGAAGCGGCTGGGATGAGGATCAGCACCTCCAAATCTGAGACCATGGTTCTCGACCGGAAAAGGGTGGCTTGCCACCTCCGGGTCGGGGGAGAGGTCCTACCTCAAGTGGAGGAGTTTAAGTATCTCGGGGTCTTGTTCACGAGTGAGGGTAGGAGGGATCGGGAGATCGACAGGCGGATTGGTTCGGCGTCTGCAGTGATGCGGACGCTGAGCCGATCTGTCGTGGGGAAGAGGGAGCTGAGCCAGAAAGCCAGGCTCTCGATTTACCGGTCGATCTACGTCCCAATCCTCACCTATGGTCATGAGCTTTGGGTAATGACCGAAAGAACGAGATCGCGGATACAAGCGGCCGAAATGAGTTTCCTCCGTAGGGTGGCCGGGCTCAGCCTTAGAGATAGGGTGAGGAGCTCGGACATTCGGGAGGGACTCGGAGTAGAACCGCTGCTCCTACGGATTGAAAGGAGCCAGTTAAGGTGGTTTGGGCATCTGGTCAGGATGCCTCCTGGACGCCTCCCCGGGGAGGTGTTTCGGGCATGTCCTGCCGGCAGAAGGCCCCCGGGTCGACCCAGGACACGTTGGAGAGGTTACATCTCCAATCTGGTCCGGGAACGCCTTGGGGTCCTGCCGGAGGAGCTGGTGGACAAGGCCGGGGAGAGGACGGCCTGGAGCTCCCTAGTTGGGATGCTGCCCCCGCGACCCGGACCCGGATAAGCGGAGGAAGACGAAGACGAAGATGAAGAATTTGACACGTTTGAGGGCTTCATCAAAACATTCCTCAGAAGTTCCTCCTTCCTTCAGATACAAAGATGGTTAACTCTTTGTGAATGAGAATGTTTCAAAACAGTGGTCCTCTATATCTTTGTGGCCTCTGAACCCTGCGCGCGTGTTTTAAAACACTAATGTGAAGTAAATGTTACTTATTATGATGAGTATGAGTATATTGATATTGATTAAAGCTCAGATTATTCAAACATTTGATTTATACATCTTGTTCATTCAACACATTTGATTATTTCAACTAACAAGTCGTAAAGTCACGTAGGAACTTTGAGGAGGGCGAAATCACTTTATTTAGAGTGAGGATGCAGCAGTCTGACTTCTGCTCGAGGCCTTGAGCAAAGGTGTTATAGTGTCTTTGCAGCAACAAGAACTGGGGCAGAACTTTGTTTTGGATTTGGAGGCCAGACAGATGTTTTCGTGTCTGCAAATGAAAGGTTAACCTCTGGTCATTTTATTGGTGA